ATTTGTATTTAAAATATAGTAAATATCATAACATATTCAACATTCAATAGTACGCGATCTTTAGCACAACGTAATCTGCCATCAAATATAATAAATTAACTTAAAGTAGTTGATTCTTTCGGCTTTACAGTACAAAGAAAATATTATTCATTGAATGTATTGTCAATCCAAAATACATAACTAATTTTACAATGTGATTGTTTCAAGGTCATTGACGAATACATAGCGCTCCTAGAAAAGAAGGCAAAGAAAGAGGTATGGTCAATTAATATACATTTCATATTGCACCGATAAAGAAGACGTATACTTCAAATTTCAGGGAAAGAACATCTTAACTGCAAACTCCAAGTTCTTGCAAGTGCTTGCGGAAGGGAAGTCATGGAAAAAGAAGTTATAATTTATATACTTCTATTAGTTTTATAATCTCAATCATGCAGTACTGCAGACCTACACATCATGACAAATTGTATGAATAAGAAAATGGAAAAAGTTAGTGAGAACCAAACAATCTTTCTTATGCCGACAGTAAACATTTGAAAGCAAAATATATAATTAAGTGAATAAAGCGAGACGCAAAATGATTGCATTGCCATTTCCATGCCAYATCAATTGAATTCCTTCTTTTCATTAATGTATCAGCTTACTAACCTAGCGGACTTGTATTCCCTAGCCAATTTGGAAAAAATAAATCATTGGAGTCTAGGGGTGAGTAGTGTTATATTTTGATGATTACTTTGCATTCTTATTCTGAAAATTTTGAACAGGTTGTCGACATACAGGGATGCACAYTATCTATTATTGACCCCCTTGGCGGGTCAATAATAGATAGTGGTGGGGTGTGGGGGTGTACTCAGGATCGTTTTATACGGGGATGCCCCGCCCAGACTCCCGACCCCTTAGAATTTCATATACTAACTGTTAACCCCAAAATGGTACCCCTTTCATATACCTAAAATCACTTTTATATAATACAATTCGCAATTCCAACCTCTTTCATATACCAACAACTCTAAAATTCCTATATCTTTCACATTGTTGCGACTGCAAAAGGGTATGCCCCTTTCCTTTCGGGATTAACATCCCCGTATGGTCGATTATAGGAAGTCCCCTCCAGGATTCAAATAGAAATGCAGACAACTGTACTAGTCGCAACAGCTTATATATTATCTATTTGTTATTTCCGTTAACAGATTGCGGAGTGTATCATGTTCCAACCAGACGATCCGATCAAGTTTTCTAGTGTAAGTACTAACACTATGTTTTCTTGTTCTAGTGCAAATACAATAAACTAAATTGGCTAAAAATCATACTCTACTTCTT